CCGCAACAGTGTCCCACAAGAGTGTCCTACAAGAGTGTCCCGCAAGAAACGCTCGTCTTGCAGCCTCGAAGCGTGACTTTTGGAGGAAGTCTCGTACGAAACGCTCGCGTGACTGCTTCTAGTGTGTGGGCAGACCGTGTCGCGACACGAGTGTCCCACAAGAGTGTCCCACAAGAGTGTTCCACAAGAGTGTCCCGCAACCGTGTCCCACAAGAGTGTCTCACAAGAGTGTCCCTTAAGAGTGTCCCACAAGAGTGTCCCACAAGAGTGTCCCGCAAGAGTGTCCCAAATGAGTGTCCCACAGGAGTGTCCCACAAGAGTGTCGCGCAACAGTGTCCCGCAAGAGTGTCTCACAAGAGTGTCCCTTAAGAGTGTCCTGCAAGAGTGTCCCGCAACAGTGTCCCACAAGAGTGTCCCACAAGAGTGTCCCACAAGAGTGTCCCACGAGTGTCCCACAAGAGTGTCCAACAAGAGTGTCCCACAAGAGTGTCCCACAAGAGTGTCCCACAAGAGTGTCCCACAAGAGTGTCCCACAAGAGTGTCCCACAAGAGTGTCCTGCAAGAGTGTCTCACAAGAGTGTCCCACAAGAGTGTCCCAAATGAGTTAGCCACAGGAGTGTCCCACAAGAGTGTCCCTTAAGAGTGTCCCACAAGAGTGTCCCGCAACAGTGTCCCACAAGAGTGTCCTACAAGAGTGTCCCACAAGAGCTTCCCACAAGAGTGTCCTACAAGAGCGTCCCACAAGAGCTTCCTACAAGAGTGTCCCACAAGAGTGTCCTACAGGAGTATCCCACAAGAGTGTCCTACAAGAGTGTCCCACAAGAGTGTCCCGCAACAGTGTCCCGCAAGAGTGTCTCACAAGAGTGTCCCTTAAGAGTGTCCCACAAGAGTGTCCCGCAACAGTGTCCCACAAGAGTGTCCTACAAGAGCGTCCCACAAGAGCTTCCTACAAGAGTGTCCCACAAGAGTTTCCTACTAGAGTGTCCCACAAGAGTGTCCCACAAGAGTGTCCCGTAAGAGTGTCCCACAAGAGTTTCCTACAAGAGTGTCCCACAAGAGTGTCCTACAAGAGTGTCATTTGGACATATGTAGCTTTTCGAACGTGCTTGCATTCGGGTTCGTGGGCTCCATCTTGTTTGGCAACAGCTGTAGATACAGATGCGCAGACACTCAGGGTGTGCCCCAGTAAGCCAGTAACAGTTTGTAAAGGATCATCACCATTCTTGAAAAAAACCTCTACTAAACATCATCATCCACCGTTACTGGTCATGGGGTACACCATACATACCCAACATATACTCTCATTTTGCTGCACACAACTTCTCCAGTAGCTCGGACCATTTTTTCCGCAGATCCTGACGACCAAGTGTACAAACATGGTTCATGGCCCAGACTCCTTCATGGCCCGGGGCGGGCTGACACGTTTCAGATGGTGCCAGGAAAGCTATTGACTTTGAGACCCAGTGGCTCAAAGTCACGTTCGGTTTCCAGCACGTGCTGGAAGTCACGTGGTTTTTCTGGTTTTTGCTTGCGTAAGTCTCTCAAGCAATGAAACATTTCAGCGGATTGGCCTCCAAGCTACAGCAATCAGCCAACCAAAGAGAAGGCACTTGAAGTAAACGTGTCCCAATACCTGAAGTCTTGCCTCCACAAGTGATACCTCTGTCAAACCATGCTGCAGTGCTGCAGTCCCAAAATTCATGGCCTGGTTTTGTTTTCTTGAAAACCCCAGTTGGTCCGTCAGAGTCTTGGTTGGAGCCAAGGACGACACCACTGGCTGCGGCGTGTGGTTCTTCTTGCGGATTTGCCGCAAGGTGCGGTGGTGCGGTGCTTTGATGGGAATCCTTCTTTGAACATCTGACGAAGTGAGGTTTGATGTTCCCCACGAGCCCCACATGCTACAACTCGTGGGGTTCTTACTTTGACCGTGCAACTCCTCTCCGCAGCCACGAAACCACCAACTCAACTCCGCCGGAGTTGCTGCCGCTCTCGGGGGGTCTGCCAAGTCGCTGGTCCGCCAACTCACTCAACCCAATCCACACCAACTCAGCTCACACCACCTCAACTCAAGTCACACAATTCAAATCACCCAACTCAACTTACACCAACTTGACTCACACCAACTCGACGCACCAAATCCAACTCGCACCAACTCAACTCACACAACTCAACTCACACCAACTCGACTCACACCAACTCGACCCTCACACCAACACGCCAACCAGGCCAACCATAACCCAATGTTTGCAAACCTGAGATAGGTTGATATTAAGAAGCTGGGAAAGCTGTTGGTGCACACAACACCGTTGCGTCACCCAACACATCAACGAGCTCGGACATTTGACATGCAAAATTTGGGCTTGTAGCTTTGTCGGAACCCCGCATATGAATATATACTGTATATATATATATTTATGTCAGGCACGCCAGCCATAGATACAAGGAGCCAAAATATTTTTATAAAGCAAACACAAAGCAAAAAAGAAGCACAAGGTAAAGCAAACAAAAAAGCATTTGTATTTTTTTCCGCTTTATTTTTGCATTTTTTCGCTTTATTTTCGCATTTGTTTCGTTTTTTTTTTCCTCGCTTTTTCCTAGGAGGGTACAGCAAATATTGCTGACGGGTAAAAGTTCTCATAAGTGCAGAAGTGGTACCAGGAAAAAAAGCAAAAAAAACAAAACAAATGCAAAACAAAGCAAATTGCGCTGCTTTTGCATTTTCATTTGCTTTTGTTGTGTTTTTTTCTCCGTTTTTTTTCACAAAAAAGTTATTTGATGGTTGGTCATGTATGGCTGCCACTGCCCAACACAAAAAAATATATGTCAATCCTTGCGAGTATCACATCGCTTCCGCTTCCTTTCATTATATCAACAATTGACATCATCATCGTCATCCACCTACGTCAAGAGACCAACATCACATGCACACCTCCTCCATCATGCCATCCAATCCGTCTCTCGTCATGCGCTATCACTCCTTGGCTGTTTGGTTTGGATATGTTTGATGCGAAAGCTGGACACGTGGGGTTGTCCGGTCCTGGCTACTTGAAACCACCTTCCGCCCGGCAGGATGGCAAAATTGCCTTCGGGGATGCTTGTGACGAGCCTGCGCCTGCGTAGGGTCATGGTGAGTGGTGCTTGACGTTCAGCAGTTTTCGGCACGTGGCAGATGCCCCGTTTTCGGTGTACTTGAAGAACCCGAGGGAGGCACGGGTTTTTTCCGCTGCAGCAGGCGTGAAAGATCCAATAGCTTTGGACCTCAAGTAGCTGTGACTCTGGTGGTTATATGGCGCTAGAACTCCCATCAAGAATGAACAGACTAGCCTAATACTGTAGCCTACCTGTAGCTCAATTACCTGGAGAATGTTCGCCCATAGGTGCCCAGGGTCTTAAGTTTTGATCCATTCTGCATGGAGCTTTCGCCATGCGAAGCCGCCCCGTGAAGCTGGTTGTGGAAGCCAAGTTGCTCGCAAGCGCTTGCGAACTCTTTTCACAGATGCTCCCTGTCTCACAGCCAAAGGAAGACTCGACCCCACGAGTGAAGCGCAGTCCGAGGAGGCCCGAGAGGCTGAACAGATGGTCGACATCGAAACACCTCTTGACCAGGGCCCCGGTCGGAAGGCGCTGATGGTTGGGGTCGATTTCCGTCCCCAGCCGCTGTGCCAAAAGGTGCGGTTTCTTCGGTCGGCGGAGTCGCTGTAGGTCCCGGGGCTGACCGGTGGGATGGGATGTGTTTCGACCGGTGTCCGAGCTAAGAGAGGGTCCGCTTCACTGGGTCACTGGGGTATCTCGGTATTTGCTTCGGCTCGAGGCTCATCCTCTTGTCTTGGGGGGCGCCTGAAGAGTGCGCTGGGGCAATGGAAGAATAGTTTGACCAAAAAGTCAAATCACCCTGTGATCTCAGAGTGCATGACTGCAAATTCCTCACCTCCACATGCTCGGATTGGGTGCTTTCCTGTTTGCACGATCGGAGTGGAAGCTGTGATACGTTTGGGGCAGCACGAATCCAAGGCTTCCTCTGGGGTAGGTGAAACGAATCCCGTGGCTCACAGGATGGATCTCCATGATCTCCTTTCCTATCTTTCCTGTCGTTTTCCTTTTCACGTCCCAACCGGTTTAAGGTGGAGCAGCCGAAGCCTCAGGGGCGATCCAAACAGATCGATGGGTGCGATCGATGGCTTTCGGGCGGGCCGGGGCTGGGTCAGTCGTTCACGGGGTCCACCCAGGTGGCCAGGGTCACTCTTTTCCAAGACCATCCAAGACCAATCAGCCGATCAGCCGATCAGCCGTGAAGCTGGCTGTTCAACAGCCTTCACCATGTGAACCACGGGGTGGTGTTTTCTGCCCCACTGGCGCCTCCATGGTGTTGCTCTCGGTCATCATCGTTGGATGATGGTCGAAGCCTCTGAACACAGGTCATGGTCATCGTACCAGCCCGAGAGCAAAGTAACAACGCCAAAGCCCACGGGACCGTGACAGGTCCCGTTAGCCGTTAGCAACAAGCGAGAACAAACACCAACTAGGTCATGCAGCGCGCGGAGTCACACCATCTCGCACCGTCTCAGGATGGAGGAGGACTTTAAGCAGGACGGATTTTTCGGTGGATTCCGCTCCCTTTTCTTTCCCCAAACAGCGCGGATGTCGCAGGGATTCGGTTTCCTTGTTGGCGGGTGGTCTTCCATATTTCATCGCCCCAAATGAATGGGCTTGGTGACCAGCTCGTAGAGGATCCTTCCCCAAAGCCGGTTGGGGAGGCTGTGTGAAGAGCCTCCTGGATCAATGAGGCCTTGATTACAAGAGGTTCCCACAAAATCAATAAAGACGACCTAGTTTTTCTCCAATCAAGAGCCTCCATCAGCCTTTGAGCTTGTGGGGGGCGTATTGAACCAGCGATGAACCAAGCGGTGCAGCCGCCGGACTTTGCCTTCGGGCTTCGGAAACCCGAACGAAAGATCGCCAGCGATGGTTTTTTGGGCATCGGCTCGGTGAAGAAACACGGGGATGGACGACCTGGCAAGTGTCACAAGCATTCGATGTTCGGAATGATGGACGCATGAAACAGTTCTCCCAGTTCTCCCATGCTATCCATACCACCGGTTTCATGCCATACCTGCTTCACCATGACTCACGTGTAGCTTGAGCTGACTGAGCGCCCATGGCGGTTCGTTCGGAGAGGAGCAGAACACGACTTATGCGGTCACTGCTGACATGGCGCGTCAGTACAAGGCGCGCCTCTTTCGACTTTCTGGGGCGAAAGGCCCCATGACAGAGTATACTTTGCTGCATGTAGGGCCCTTCACGGCCTGCACGGCCCTCGTCTTTTTGAATTCTGACGCTTCCTGCGTCAGGCTTTGCAGGAAGAGCTCATCTATAAGATCAACTGCCTGGAGCACCGCCGAGTCGGTAGGGTCGTGGGTCCATCTGGTGTATCAGGTGTCCAAAGGTGTCCATTTGGGTGTGACAGTTACATCAGTTACATTTGTACACAACAGCCGTCATGAAGAATCTTCACACCCTTGAAGAAACAGAAGCTTTCCCATTGCAGACTGGACATGTGTTTTTTTTGTTTGTATGTTTTTGCTCCAAAGATGTCGTTAATGTTTACGACGTTCAGGAGATCCAGAACACGGAGCAGAAGGAAGAACTCGACATTACGAACCACGAGCTCAAGGAGCCGTTTCTCTCTTTTTTTGCCAGCTCTGGGTGGCTACAAAGAGGTCTCAGCAGATGGAGTTCTAACAATCGCTTCCGTAGTTTCCTTGCTGGGTTGTTATAGCAGCACTTGCGCAGGCATGCGCTGGTGCCGGCTAGCCACCGGCGAATTCTTGTGAGATCTGGCCATTCTTGTCCCGATCTTGAAACCACATATCAAGAAAAAGTTCTTAAGTTCAGTTCACTTTACTTCATATGAGCCTCCTGTCATTGCTCAAGAACGGGCTCAAGGTCATGTGAACCCTGCGGTCGTTGACCTCTTCCCTTGACGCACCGTTTGGCTCTTTCCGAGGAGCTCACTCAAGTCAAGGTGGGCCATGGTGAGAATGCAGGGCAGTGATGAATTAGCATCTAGGTCACGAAGAAAGATTGCAAGGTCTTTGCAATACAGCCCTTTTTTGTGGGATCACAAGGGAAGGTGTAGGTTTTGGTCGAATACGGGATTTGAAGCTCGCTTTTTGACATTAAAATAGCTGTGATGTTTGGAAGGGCAGTGTCCTTTTTGGAAAGGGACATTTTCTGAGCCGTGCTTTTGCAGGATGCAGACATTGAAAACAAGGATCAGCAGATCAAGCACTTTGGCTGCAGAAACTCGCTTTAGGATTTATGGCCTTTTGTGCCTTTGGCCTCGCGGTATGAGTGGCCATGTGGAGCTGCAGTCTTTCTTTGTCCGCTTGTTCTTCCACGAAAGCGTGGCTGTCATCGGCCAGGCAGTTGAATGAGCGCATGAATGACATGTCCGCCGAGTTCGCGAACATGCTGGCTGAAACGCTGGACCCGGGAGGGCGGCGAGCGTTTCTCTCCGCAACGGCAACTCGTTCCTCCCCCCCGGGCAATTGGAATCTACTCTCCCTGGAAACAGGGAAGTGGAAAAGTCACCTTTTGGTAGTGGACAATCACGTACAGATAGATATATGACACAATGATACATATCATATATATATATATAATATCAATATAGATATAAATACATAAATTATATACACCACAACCACACACAACCATGGATCTTTATGTACCCTATTTTGCTGTGTTTGAGGCAGATCTTACATCCAGGAGGAGAGTCCAAGTAGATTACCATGATTCACTTGGCCCTGTGAACAGCTGGTCGAATTCCACGGCCGTTTCCTGTAGAGTGCTTGTGCCCTCCAGAAAACCAACATGAGTACCCTGGTAGGCGATCTGGACTGTTCTCTTTGCAAACACGTCGGGGACTGTTGGGGTTCATGTGATCCTTGGACATTTTGCACCCGAATTTGTTCTGCTATAAAAACCGGCACGTGACGATTGGATTGGCCCACATGGCGGGTCTTCGGTTTCTTTGGCTCCATGAAAAGGAATCTTTTGGAGCACACAGATGTGCCACACGGAAAGGCTCCAATTTTGCTCATCCACAGGATTGGCCGTTGGCAGGAGAAAGCATCCGTATCAGAATGGTAGCAACATGGTTTCGACGATGTTTCGAGGCCAGTCTTTGGGGACACGGGAAGTATAATACCCTGCACCTTGCAAATCGCATCGCAGCTTTTGGTGATGTGGAGCTGTGGAAGGTAGTCCTCTTCCAGAATTAAGTCCTGCCTCCCATTTCTCTTACAGGACCCCCTGAACCACAGAGAATGACATGATCTTAAAAATGCCCTGCCCTGCATCATCATGCCCTGATCTACCAGGTATGCCCTCCGGCCTTCCGACGCTGGTGGGTCCAAAGTGAACTGCGCCACGTGCTGATGCCCCGCCAGGACTTGATGAAGCTGCACATCAACGAGAAGCTCTCGGATGCGGCTCTAGGCAATGCATGGGCTGGTACAAGGATAGATAGATAGATAGATAGATAGATATAAATACCTTGTCACATAGTCTATATACCAGCTAGGTGACAACCTGTGATACACGCTCTTCCGCCAGCTACCGCGGTCCTCACCATGTCCTCCATGTCGCGGTTGGTTCCGAACGCACCCCGCCAGGCGACGCCGAAGCGTCCAGGCCCGACTTCAGCCAGCGCCTGCAGGACGGGGGGAGTCGGTGGCCGGGGGGATGGGGACGGCCGGGCTCGGTGCGGATCAGCTGCAAAGGCTGCTCCTCCTTGGGGGTTCTGAATGGGAGGGAGATGGGTCAAAGTCGAGGTGAAGTTCCTTGGATGGAGGTTCTTCCTACGAAGCGCCAGTTGCCAAAGGCAGGTCCTGACCCTGAAACCGCCAGGATTTCAGCAACAAGGCGTACAATGCCGTGGCCATTAACTCGAAGAGCGATCATGGCAACAAGGTCGGGGACGGTGGGCGAAACCGAATCAGCGGTCAAACACGAATCCGGTGGTGAAATTGCGGAGTCTGGGGCTTGGAGCCCTGCCGCGGTGAGAAACTCACCCTCTTTGTATTCTTCCGAGATTTTCATCACATGGCAGTGAAGTGCTCCATATATAAGTGTCAAAAAGCAGCGAGTGCTTTCTGTGCTGCTGGGAGTCAGGTAGGGTTTCCGTCTACGGTCTACGTTTGTCATACATATTGGTGTGTCGGTTCGTTTCTAGGTGACGAGACCTTTGAACAGGCCGATTGAATAGCATTTGAAGAAATCCATGAGATGATTGACAGCTACTTGAAATGATTCTATATGTTGGATGCTTGAGGTTCAGGCGTCACTGGACGGGGGTTGACAGGGGCATCTGGCCGCGAATGCTGTCACCCCCGACGTTGAATGCCAATTGGCTCCTACAAACCCGCTGGTGCTTTTCCATGCTGTTCGGGCCCGCCCGAGCAGGGAACGCCACATGGCAAAAAGGGGGCTTTTACTGCTACTTTGTCCCGTAATGGTGGAGTCTTGATCGATCAAAACCACCTCTTGATCATCTAGAATCTAGAGTCTACAAATCATCGTGCTAGCCATTATCAACTGATTCCTCAGTGGACCAACTTTTGGAAGAAGCATTCGTGTGGAGGCCTTGCCTCCCAGCGACGGATGAGGTGGGGCGGTGTTTGGCCGATGTGCTCTCCAAATCATGAATGCCACTACTATTTGGCAAAAACAACCGATTTCCGCAGCTGAGGATGTTTTTCCTGCGCACGCCAAGAACGCACATAACAGCCATCAACACAGCGACTCCACAGACTCCACAATCACAATGGGTGAACTCCACAAGCACAAACAACTACTGTAAACCAAAAAAAGGCAAGTGGCATTGTGCACAAGATGGTGACGAAAAGGCGACGGGAAAAGCACCGAGCACCCCCAGAAGTTGAGTTGATAGGTGCTTTGGATCAGGAATGGGGTGAACAGCTAAGAATAGACGCAGCAAAAACGCCAGGACAATTCTAAAGCGACCAAATTTGCAAACACTGACAGGGATGGCGGGGTTTGTCACTTACCTTTTCCTTTCTAAGTCCTTTTTTTGTCACACTCGCGCTTCCTTTGCCACTTTCTTTTCTTTTTCTCTCTCATTTTTTGTGGTTAGTTTTGCATTGATTCTGCGCTTTTTTGATCAAACTGTTTCCAAACACGCGTTCCCCTAGTACCTCCCCTAGTACCTTCCTGTCCAAATCACATTAGCTCTTCATGCCTCGTTTTATTGTCCCAAATAAGTTGTGGGAATTCTGGGGTTTAGGTTGGGTGCCTGAACACGGACTGCGAAATCAATCAGTACTATACTACTATACGGGTCAATGCATTATATAAGGGCTAGTCAGGCTTGCTGTTTAAAATCGTCCACCATGTGACACTCCACGGGCCTGGCACTGTTGATTGACCTGACTGCTTTACTGAGAGTTTCACCTACACACTCGTTAGATCTGAAAAAGGTTAGTTCCCTCAGCGGAAAGGGTGGCTCGGCAGATGGGGCACCCTTTAAACCTCCAGACTCCAGTCGAAGACAGGTGTCCAATTTTGGGTGAGCCACAGCCACATCACGGGGTGAATGGAACACCTGGGAGTCTCAGTTGATGGAAAACTTGTTCTGGTCCGACATTCGGAGGCGAAGTTTGGGTTGTCCCTTCACCCAGTTCAATAATGGCTTAGGGCCTAAGGATACAACATTCTGGACTGTTGTCCTGGTAGTGTATGGTTTCTAGCAAGCTATGCACTGCCTTTTGGCGTCTCGAACCAGAGGCGGGGTCAGCCACCGAGCCAATAGTCTCTTCCTGACAAATACAAATACAAGGGTCCTCAAAGGCTTTTCAGTAGTCTTGACTGCTAGGTGCTTCCAAAAACAACGCTCTACCAAACAGAGGATCTTGAGGGACCCATAACCCATACGACAGCATGGTGATGCGCCAGAAATGCAGACCTCCTCACGAACGCCACCGCTCGCCCCCCCCTCGCCGCCCAGGCGTTCGCGTGAAGCATCGCGGGTTCGTTTTTTTCGGCCTGGGCAGGTCATCCCATGTGCCTACGTGGAACACATGTGTGTTCTTCGGTGGCTAAGTCGTGGTGGCTCTAGTTGACTCAGTCGCATTTCCAACTCCATGGTGCCTTGAATGGAGCTTTTCTTTTTTAAAGATCTTTTCCTTTTTGGGGAGCAGCAAACCTTGTACGGACGGGCCCGGTTATGTATCTCCAAGCCATGGAAGAGACCTGGACCCGAAGGTCTTGAAAACCGATTCGAGCGGTTTCACCCCAAAACTGCGAAATCTGCAGGACTGCCAACTCGCGAAAAGGAAAAGAGGATTGCCTTGAAGGCTGCACCTGGGATTGTTCGGCCTGCCGAAGCGTCATTGCAGACTTTCGCAGGTCGCAGGTGAGTGATCCTGTCGCATCCAGCTTCGACCTGCTGCAGCGTCTGGAGAGGCCGCACCTGCCCCGACCAATCTGACTGTAGTACACACTATAGTCTGTGACTGTTCATGTGGTCCTGCTTTGGGGAGCGTTTGCGTGGGCTTTCACGGGGGGTCATAGCAATAGCCAGAAATTACATCGAACAGACTTTTTCCCGAAAGCATTGCGAAGGGTTCTTCCGGAAAATCCCTTGAACACTGACACTTCGACACTTACACTTACACACTGACACTTCCACACTTGCACTTGAACACTGACATTTCGACACGTACACTTGAACACTTACGCTTTCACACTTACACTTGAACATGAACACTTACACTTCTATACGTACCCCAGTGTAAGTGGAAGAGTGAAAGCATCCAACGGCAAGTATGTAAGTGCAATGAGTATGCAAGTGTGAGTATGGAAAAGTTGCACGGGAGATGTCCTAATGAAAAACATTTCCCCACTTTATAAATTCTCTCTTAAAGGCGGAGGGTGGGACGAACAGCGTCAACCGAAAATGCAACCCTCTGCGGAGATCGTGCGTGTCGAGTGCGCGAAATGCAGGCGAGAGTGCGATCTGTCCGGTGTGCGCGCAACCCTCTGCGGAGATCGTGCGTGTCGAGTGCGCGAAATGCAGGCGAGAGTGCGATTTGTCTGGTGTGCGCGCAACCCTCTGCGGAGATCGTGCGTGTCGAGTGCGCGAAATGCAGGCGAGTGTGCGATTTGTCCCGTTCCCGCGCAGCCCTCTGTGGAGATCGTGCGTGTCGAGTGCGCGAAATGCAGGTGAGAGTGCGATTTGTCCCATGTGCGCGCAACCCTCTGCGGAGATCGTGCGTGTCGAGTGCGCGAAATGCAGGCAAGAGTGCGATTTGTCCCATGTGCGCGCAACCCTCTGCGGAGACCGTGCGTGTCGAGTGCGCGAAATGCAGGCGAGAGTGCGATTGGGTCTGTGCGCGCGCAACCCTCTGCGGAGATCGTGCGTGTCGAGTGCGCGAAATGC